TATTATAAGTGTGTATTTTTGAACCAGCGTAATTATATTTAAAGAACGTAAGCAGTTTCTTTAGCGAATTGACAAATCCTTTTAGATTTTATATGCCCAATATTATTTCATATCAATTAAGTTTCAGTACTTAATACTAATTACTTCCTTTTAATGAATCATTTAGTTCCATCACTGAAAAATTAAGTAATTAATTGTTGTAGCAATTGAGGGCATAGTAAGTTTAAATGGTGGGAATTAGCCAAGGAAATCGTACAAGATATCTATTGAGGTGATGATAATGTTTGTGTTCGTCATATATATCATCACTAACGTGATTGTGACGAATGTGGATAGTGATGCCCAAACAAATCACGATTTGATCTGTAACAATATACAATAAACGTAAATTAAGTGTGCTTCTTTGATACATGTAATGAATTTGAAGATAAAATCGATTGCTTAAATTTTAATTAAATTTCACTCTAAAATCTGCAATAACTTGCCTGTTAAAGCGTCATGTATTTATAATTTTACTTTAAAGTATCACCCTATTTTCAAGCCAACACAATAAGAATGAAATTGACGTATGCACCTCCTCGCGACTTGGTTGCTCATCACCATCTTCATTCATCTTGGCGAACACGAACACCATCGTCACCAAACATGAGCAGAGATAATGTCCCCGTCAATGTCTCGCATAATTCTCTTGCCTAATTCTCTCCCTCTATTTTTGTTATACAATTATTCGGATCAATTTTCAAGGTTATTTATATTGGTAATTAAAATATATATGATTCATTTAATCAGGGAAATTGGTATTAAATAGTAAAATTTAATTACTAACAATAATATGTTGTATTTAAAAGCTATATGGATCTGTCAATTTTCAAGAGAAACTGCTTTGAATCATTTAACCTTGTTTCGCTTATTTAAAAAAATTTATTTTATAAATATTCGCTTCTGATGTAGTCTTATACTTCAAAGTAGCAATTGTTAATTCAGGAAGTGTGCATAGATCGAAATTATCGATATTTAGTGAGTATGCCATTGAATTAAATTGCATTAAATTGACTCAACCCGCAGATTCTTTGAACTTTAATTCCACCAGCCAAAGCATAAAAAACGACACCAGTGTCGATGCGTAACTTTTGGTCACTCAATGGTTAATTTTTCACAAGATATCTTTAAATGGCTCTTGGGCATACAATCATGAAGCAATTTAAATGCTGACAATTTATCATCATTTCATAAACATGAGTTAATTTAACGCTTAGTTGCATACTTTTGTTCAAAAATGAACCAAGACTTTTGAATTAAGTGATTTATGTACCTTCTAACTATATTGGGTGTGTGATTAAATATAGTGATCGAAATTTTCGACATTTAAATATGCATTTATATCTGCATGTTTGTCAATATCAACTACCGTGGGTTTTTAATCTGCTAAATCTATGCAATGGAACGATCTTTTCATAAGATGTTAAAAATATTAACCTTTCAATTTTTGCGTTGATTTGAAAGCATGTGGACCGAATGAAAGCTGTGCTATTTGCGGTGATTGCATCACAGAAACTGAAAGCAAAGACTAATTGTGTCATTCTGACAACTAGAAAGAACAAAGCATTCGGTTGACATTTTGTGAATAGACGAAAATGAAATATTGCTTTGATATTAAATGAAATAATTGAACTGACTCCATTAGTATATTTTCGTCGTTATACAAATACTGTGATGTTGCTTTAGCAGCTTTCGACACATTAAATATGGATATCATTGTTGTTATTTTAGTGACCATGAGTTTTTATTCAATACTTATGTACATAGACATGCATAAATGTGAATGAGAATGAGCGTTGCACAAATTCGCATTTGAATTGCATTTTCATTATGACTTTTTGCTTGATTTCACGCCCTCTAGTTGTTTACCCGGGGTGAGGTAGACTTAACTTCTCCAAGTGGTGCCCGCTGGGCAACATAATCCCATACGGCAAAATGGTCTATAACCCCGCAGTTGACTTCAGAATGCGGTGGCCCCAATCTATGTCACATTCGTTCACTTTCAGAGTACCCGCCATACTTTTTCACTATCATTATGCCTGTCTAATTTGCATCTATTAAAAACTCTTCAATTCCCCCTCCCAACTTATATGAAATTAATGCTCCGATATATATATATATATATATATATATATATATATATATAACGGAATATATATATATATATATATATATATATATATATATATATTAAACAAACCAAGTTATAAAAGTGTATTCCAAATATTCGCAACTGAAAATATTTGGATTGCATAACAATATTTTGCTCCTTTAGGCGATTTCGGAAGCCTTCAGTAACATGCGTAATATTTGAGAATCAAAATTCTTGATGTTTATTGCCTGGTCTAATAATATTAGATTTAAATCAGATTGATGAATTAAGTCCCTATTAACTTCTCCAATAGATAGACGAGCCCAAACGTTAATTCTTATATCAATAACAAATTTTAAATTCTCTATCACTTGTAGCGGATTCCTACCTTAGTAAAGCCAGGCTGACTCAGAAAACTCTATGGCAGATTCTCCAACATCTAGCTAGACTCCCGGAAATAAAGCCCAGCTATGAAAGGAAACACACGTATAACACGGAGCACGTTTATTCAGTACGTATATTATGAATAAAGTGTACACGCAGAAAGCTTAGTCATGATAAGGATGGCGGATTAGGTTAAACAAACAGAGGTTAATGATTGGTCACTGTTTTTACGGTAAACAAACAGAGGTTAATGATTGGTCACTGTTTGGACGGACGCACCTCCCAGTATTGACGGGCAGGCATGAAATAACGTGTCCCACACACTAGTTAACAAGTTAATAATTTAAGTTAACCAGCTTAACCTCATAAACCTAGTTCTATTCTCTTGCTCAACCCTGACTTTTATCTAGCTTACCCACGGATAGCTACAGCATCAGAAAAACGAGGGGGCAAATCATCAGATTTATATTCTCTTCTTAGCTTTGCTACATCAAAATCAGCTGGGCTTTTAAATTTCAACTCATTCCAAAGGCATTTAATATTTATTTATGTATTTCAAATGGCAGGCTTTATGATATTTATCATTAGCTCTTAATCTTTGACTTCAGCTTCCCACAAGAGGAGGGGGGGGGGAGGGTACATTTATAGCAATTAATTAATAGAAGTTCATTAGCTGTCTTCTTTCTTACAAGTATCTCTGGCTTTCCGTCGTTGTCACTAGGGCTGGACACCGAATCAGGTGGGTCTTATCCATTTCCTCCTCCTGGACACCGAATCAGGTGGGTCTTATCCATTTCCTCCTGATGGTTACATTGAGGGCATGTGGGTTGAGTGCATACTCCCAAACTGTGAAGGCATTTCGCAAAGAAGTCGTGTTCGGTACGTAGTCTAAACTCTGTAACGGCTTCGATTCTTGGCCAGTCGGGTATGTCGGAGGGTGCCACTGTCCACTGTTTCTTCTTTGTTCTAGCTTTAAGTTCGTTTCATCTTGATGTCCGGAATTCTCTTCTGATTAAGGCCTTCATTGTGTGGAAAGACATCGGCCGGTCCATGCATTGCAAAATCGTTGTCCCCCCCCCCTTAGCAAGTGTGTCAGCAAGCTCATTGCCTTTAATGCTACAGTGACCAGGAATCCATTGTTGCACCACAGTTTTGTTTTTCTCTCTCAGCAGCTCATAGAGTTTTCTACATTCCTTTATTTCAGCTGTTTTGGGTGGCTCTCTGTTTTCGATTGAGTCTATTGCTGACTGTGAGTTCGAAAGTATCACCGCTTTGGTGAATTTCGTATCCAGGCAACATAATTGGCATAATGCCATCCTAATGGCCTCTATTTCTTCTTCAAAAGCGGATCTATTGTCTCACTGCTGCGTAGAAAGAGAAGAGTTCAGAATAGACACCTGCACCAACGTTTGCTTGGTTTTCTGTGTATGACCCATCAGTGAAGACTTGGAGCCATTGATCTGCAGGATAGTTGACATTGATTGTCTCAAGGGCCAGTGGGCGCATTTGTTCTGAAAGGGTGTTTGATTTCCTGAAGAAGTCGAGCAGTTGTGTGCGACACACTACATCAATGTCTGCTAATTGGTTCATGGGGAGAGAGAAACTTTTGGTTTGCCATCAATTTGTTATTCCTTCTTCAGTTCTATGGCTTTCTGTATTCGACCAGATTGCGTTTTCAGATGTCTTGGTCTATTCTCATAGGTGCTGAAGAACTTATCCATGGGAATGCGTAGTAGCTTCTCATACAGGATAAAGCCCTTTTCTTTGATAAGGAAACATATTGTGGTGTTTCCTTTAACTAGGAGCATTGCATCAATGAGTGTTGATTTTACCCTCCAGTAATAAGTCGTAATGCCTGGTTGTATGCCTTCTCGAGTGGTTTGAAAGTCACCTCTGTGGCTGTAATGTGTGGCTCACAGCAATGTATCAAAAAAAGAGGGAGCAAATTGTCAGAAGAACACCATAATGTAAAATGAAATGTAAGGTCTCCTGCGCCTGATGTGTTGGAATAACCTGTGCTTTCTGTCAGGTAAAATATTGGCATGATTTTGATATATATACATTCTCAAGTGATTTGCAGTTTGACAACATGAATCTCAAAAAATAAACATGTAAGTAACCCAATCACTGATAAAACAATAATATCGGATGTGCATAATGAATGAAACAAACAGATAAAATCAATTATATTGAAGTATTTAATTTGAAAGTGACATGTAAGTGTCATCGGTTCATTCACTGACAGTTTTCCACTTTCTTTCTAGTTCCCAGGACCAGGATGGCACAATTTGTCCTCGCAATGGGTTCCTTCTGGGCATTTGCTGCAACTTGTACCAATTTCATACGATGCACATACCTCGAGATCGGCGCTTAAATGATGATATGCGCATCCAACTTCGTAGGAAGGTGCCTAAATCATCTAATTCAGAAATCATTTATACATTTTTGAATAGAAAGTGTAATTTTGCATCGAAACAACTTACGTTCATGTAGTTATGGCGAAAATAAGAAAAGTCTGGAACCATTTATAGATAACACTTGAAAAATTGACAAGATTGAGATCGTAGGTGTAATAAGTATTTCGAACGTCAATTGTTTCATCTTTACCTGCCTTAGCAGTTGTCTCAGCCAAGGCTTCCAAAGATTTACTGTATTTCTGCAGATGGGAGTGAAAGTATTAGTTGGTAAATGCAAGCATAATGTAAGAGAATTAGTAAATTACCATGGCCTTCACATTCGACGCTGAAGGTGAAACACCGCTACGAACAGCATTATGATTTTCTACGACTTCTTCACGAAGCTCAGCAGTCATCTCATAAGTACAGATGGGATAGACATAGACCAACAGGGTGATTTTTTCTAGCATTTTGGCAACTCAAACGCCTGACAACGTGTGCAAAGTGCCCTTTATGCTGTATTTCAATCCAATGGTAAATTTTTGTCAATGATTCGTTACAAAAAACATTAGTGCCCAATAACAACCAACGTTTTAAGATACAAATGAGCTCTCAAAATAGGCAATGACGAGATTACGCAGCAAGTTGGGAGATTCGCTGCTTTAGCACGTAAAGATTTTGACAATCGGGACACAAAAATCGTGCTTTACTGAAAGCAATTTATTCATTCGAGGTAGTCAACGTTGATGATAATTGTGCAAAATTTCAAACCCGATTAGTGAGTTGCAAAGTGTGCGAGAGATTGATCGCGATGAGAATGGCTTGATAATATAGAATAGGTTTGAAATACTACCGCACAAGCAAGTATGGAAGACCAGTATAATCAAATTATTGAGTCATCCTTAGAAATTTAATATTGAGATTTCACAGGATATTATAATATTTAATTACATCGGCCCACTTTTAAGCTCGTGAAATCTCTAAGACACAACTACTTGTACTAGTTCCAGATTGACCGTCGTGGATATAACCCAATTTATCGTAGACAACTTGTTCCAAATAGGAGCACATTCTGACGCCCTGTCCACTCCAAGGTGAAGAGGAAACTTTCGGAATATGCCCTGTGTGCAAAAATGTTAACAATAAATTATTTGAACAGATTTGAAAAACATTATTCCTTTGCACAATTAAACGCTGATTAATGTCTTTATAGAAGCTAAGACAATATCTAGACCTTAATCATTTATTAATTAAGAAATTTATTTATTTCAAATGGCAGGCATTTTGATAGTTATCATTGACCCTTAAGTTGACTTCGGGCTTCACAGAAGGAAAGAACATTAGAGGAAAGTTCGGCAGAAAAAGAAGAACGATTCACAGATGTAAAAGGCAAACAGACACAAAGGCATAGAAAAGGCTAGATGAGTGCTGTGGAAGGGGTCGAATATGACATTCAGTGTGGTCATTGTAGTTTGAAGTCAGAAGTCAACTGCCAGTTAAAAGACTTTTTTGCCGTATGCGTATACGTTGCCCAGGGTGCACCACGTGGTGGTAAGTCTATCGCACACCCAAGACCTTAATCATTTATCAGATTATAATTCAATTGCAAACTCCCTCCAATACAAAATTAACACTACGTTTTTCGAAGTAATATCGCCCATAATGTTCAAATAGGAATTAGACAACGCCATCTTTGACACTTATGACCTTTTTCAAAGCCAAAACAGCCTAAAATGTAAATATTAATGAGATTATTTGACAAATATTATAAATTTGAAGAAACAGTTGATTGCTTTAGCATCATTTTTCAACGAAAAACTCCGGCGACTGCTTGCACTTTTTAACGTCTATAAAAGTCCACCATGTTTATCTATGAACACTTCGTGTATTTACAATAGTCGTCATAAAAATTAAATCAGCATGAAAATCGTATAATTATAATAACTGTGTATTTTCAAACAGGCTTAAATATATTTAACGATGGTAAACAAATTCTTTAGGAAATTGGCAAGTCCAAATGGATTTTGTAAGTTCCATATTATCGTATCTCAATTAAATTCTATACTTAATACCAATCGCTCTATTTAAATGAATCATTCAATTTTTTTTACCGATAAAATAAACCTTGGAAAACAAGCAGATGAGTGAATATCAAGTTTAGAGGGTGAGAATCAGAATCTGCAAGACTACCACTGAGGCATTATACCTGTTTGTCTTTGAAGATGGTGCTGCTGGTAATCGCCATGTCTATCGCCACCAACGGGTGAGCAATGATTGAGGATGGTGATGTACAAAATAATTTCGAACTGGGTCATACCACTTGTTTAAACTGCTTGCGTTTGCTTGGAAACATGCTAGTATTTTAAACATGCGCTTTACATGTGACTTGAACTGTCAATGTAACAGTGATAAATGCAGGAGGTTTCAATAGAAGAACATTCAGGAACTCTATGGACACTGATATGAGCTAAATTGTGCCTAATTTTTGTCTGTTGTTAAGTTTCTACTTAAATTTATCATATTTATCAAGAAGACCCTAATTATTTATGCTTTCAGCATACCTTGTTAAACTAATGGTCATAAATGCCAATGAGATGTTTTAGCAAAAGTCATTTAAACACATTCTCCTCATGCCTTGCAAAATGTTGTAAGTAGTAGAATATTTGAAATCGCTTGCAAAACTTAATTCTTTTACAGCTCTGATAGGGGATATGTCTTACCTCACAAATTATCGTAATTCACACCACTTTTCAATAATTATTTATTTTGATCAAAATTTGATTGTGATGAAATTTATTTGTTAGCTTTATTAGCGATCAATAGAGAACTCAATATTTCCACTAAATTTCCAATCCTTGTCCACAAAAAATTAAAATATAATTATAAAGAATTAAAACAAATGAAGCCAAATTGTTGTAAAAACTGACCAATGAAAACAACTTCTTTTTCACACTACTGTTTTGATGTTTGCACAACTGTGTGAGTACTAGTTAATGCTAAGAGAGCCAAAACAAAATTTCGTATTCATAGTTACAAAGAGAAATTTGGGTTTAAGCAGGTTACAGTTCGCTTCATTTATGATATTTATCGTACTGATATCATGAGTATTATTTATTTTGATCAGGTGTCTCTTGAAGCCCTTTGCTTGGACTCAATTTCGACAGTTATGTTAAGTCATTGAATTATATTTTCAGTCAGTATCATAATAATTGATATTACAAACTATAGTCAATTGAGACACTTTAATATCGCTATCTGACAACAAAATAAACACTGCGCCACATACAACAAACAATTTGGATGTTTAACACTTAATTTTGGATAAGTGACTGAATACTGCGAGGAAATCGAATCAATATTATTGTGCACATAGAGCAAATTTTGCTCTCAGTTAAGCGTTAATGACGAACTCAAGCTAGCAAAGATATACCAAGTGCTGCACTTTCAGAAAGTGTGTCATAAAGTGTTGTGGTAAGTCTCTATCAAAATCATTCATATTGCAATAAGATCTCAGTCAAGTAAACCTGTTTCACTGCGAATGAATATAGCACTGTTCGAAATTGACTCTTTTCTATGTTAAGAATTGGGAGATTCCAAGGCAATAAAACCTACAAAATTAGAGTGAGTAAATGCGTATCTAGTTAAAATGATGCTGATCGGTTAAAAAAATAAAAAGAGATGCGCACTTCGGTAAATGTTTTCGGATGCATGAAGATAAAGCTGGTGGTATTTGCCATGTCCCTCGTTATCCTCGACAATTTGTGGGTGAAGGATATTGATGGGCAATTTATCCATGAGATGAAATAATATAGTGCATTGCTATTAAACGTCTTATTGAAAGTCTATATGAACTAATCGTTCTGGTATAAATAAAATGAAATAGTCTTTTGATCTGCTCCAAACATATGAATATCAATACTTTCATCTGTACGCATTTTGAAAATTTCGTTTACAAATACGTTCAACTAATTAGGCTCATGAATTTATTCCACTATCCTACGTCTTATTTATTGGCAAGGTCCATAGATTATAATAGTGGTCCCATATTCAATTTCCAGCATTTGATAATATCCTCTTAATGAAAATTTTGATAATTTGAATTTCATCGCAATAAAATGCAATGCATTTGCAAATATTTCACTAGGAATTGACTTTACTTAAGGCCTGTTTCTATTAATCATAACAATT